AAGACTCAATTTCATCTGCACAAAATGCACTCTGCGATATAAAATGAAAATGCTATAAGTCAGAAAAATTATTTTAGAGTTACAGTTAAAATAGCTTCGCGTGCAAAGGGTTAAGTGACGCGCGAAGATTTTGCACGCCCGCCGCTGGCCACGCAATCACCTTGTATTCGACTTTATAATTTCTTTATGCGGACGGATCTTGAACAGTTAGCAAACGAATTATTTGGTTTATTTGCGAAAAATTCAACTTCACGAATTCTTCTGAAATATAACATCTTTTTTACGCAATATCTGCAATGTCTGCGTACTGAAATGATATACAGAGACTGTGAAACTATACTATACTTGCTGCGTCGCGAAAGCTTCCACACAAATGCTTATTTGTTTCGCGAATACAGCAATAGCCTCGGTTGTTATTTAACTACGCGACGGGTTGTTTCGTTCCGGGACCCGAAACAACGATACGTCACGAATTTATCGAAGGCGATGAGTAAATTAGAGAGACGTTCGCTAGAATGAAAAATGAGGCTCCGCTCTGGACGGACAGGCCTGACAGTATTCGACAATTTACAGAAGAGCTTGCTCATTCAGCCATCAAGATTCTGATAAGTCGGTGCTCTTTTTCCTCGCCCGTTACTCCACCGGTGATTTATTATTTCCATTCGGAAGGGGCTTCGAAATGCCGAGCAGTTCTTCGGAAAGACAAAACAATCGAGACGAGTGCAAGGTTTCTTCTTGGAATCTATGGCGTACTATGCATACAGCGTACTATAATATAATGCGTACTGTGCAAATGATTGAAATCGGTAACAGAATTAGCATCGTTGATCATTTATCGTAATTAACAATTACAGTTTTAATCATTAATCTAAATTAATTAACGATTGAAATATTATTGTTAATCGTTAATCGCAATTCACGGTTAATTATCTTTCAATTGTTGGCGACGATTAAGGACTAAAGTAGCAATCCTCCTCCTAATATAAAAATATAATAGAATAATAAACGTCATAAAGACAATTCTTAATGGAATTGTATAAAATATCTTTCCAATTCCATTAAAAGTCATTAAAAGTCAACAATTATTGACTGTCTCTTTAAATCGACGATTGACGATTAATTTTATCAATCGATTAATTTAATCGTCGATTTTTGCCTTTTGCGATTAATGCCTTTAATCAACGACTTGCGATTACATTCATCAATCAATTAATTCAATCAACGCCTTTCCGACGATTAATGCGTTTAATCGTTTTCATCGATCATTTAATTAAATTAAGAATTCTAATTGATTGATACCCAACACTGTTTGACCTTTTGTTGGTTTAAATAGTTCAAGCTATGACAAGAGGTGTCTTTTTTGCGGTATCGTTAACTGGAAATATTTAGGGTCATAGAACATAATTTTTATTATGTTCTGTTATGTTATAAATATTATATTTATTGAACGAATGCAAGTAGTACAGGTCAATAGTGTGGCAGTCGCATGTCTACGAGCAGTATAAGTCAATGATGTGACAGTTGCAAGTCTAGAAGATATTCCTCTACAAATCTAATTTAATGAATTGAAAGTGTGCAATAGATAGTTCGATACTCTTGGTATAGTTAATGGAGATCTGCAAAGTATTTGTCTACGAATCTGAGTTAATTAATTAAAAGTACATTAAGAAATTAAATGTTTCTGGCATCGTCGGAGATAATTACAACTTTATTATAAAGTTGAGCAAACGTAATTATAACTTTAATATAAAGTTGTAATTATAACTTCATTATAAAGTTGTGCAAACATATTTATAACTTTATTATAGAGTTGTGCAAACATAATTATGACTTTATTATAAAGTTGTGCAAACATAATTAAGACTTTATTATAAAAAACAAATAATTCTCATATTTACTGTATGACTCAATGATCCAGAGTCAAGGTTCTAGTCAAAGCGAATCTCGTCCTCGTCATGCATCCGCAGACACTAACGGTCCTAATATTAATTATTAACGGTCAAGATAGAGACCCAGTCGAAAGAAACAAATCTGCATTGTCTTAAGTATTCGAGAGAGCAATATTGTAGAGATAGTAGGTTTTGGTGATTATTCTATTCATTACTTCATACTGTATTTATTACACACTTCTCTCCCCAAATTGTCCATTTTCGTGCATAATCTGAGCGTCAATTAGGAAGAATCTACTGTGATACGCACGCAAAATAGAATACAAAAAGACAGTAAAGCAGTATACAATAATTCTCGTAATCGTACGCCGAAGTCGTAAACCGTGTCCGTTGTAATATAATTCTGTATCGTTATCCGTATCGTAAACCGTAATTGTGATCGCGACCGTAGATCGTAATCGTAATCGTATTCGTGACCGTGATCGTAAATTGCGCGTCGACGTTCGTCGCGTTCTGTCTCGCGCCCTGCGAGCGCATCCTTTTATTGGTGCGCCGGCCAACCGTTCAACGAGTCTTCCTTCGAATTTGGCCGTTCCGTTCGACCAGCGCCTAACAGCCCCTTAGCGAAATTGCGATCTTAATATAATAATAATAATAATAATAATAATTTATTAATACGATTATTATTAATATTATTATTAATTATTTCTTATGTTGACAATTTAACTCGAACAAAATTATGGATTATCGAATACAATTTCTAGAAGCGTAAAACAAATTGTAGTATAGATATTATAGTATAAGTGAATGAAGAACATATCACATTATCCTTAAATCTGGATTTTCCTTAAGCGACGCGATATTGGCAATTTTCCCGGATCACATGCTGCCTGATAAAGCAAAAATAGCAGAGATGTGCTCGATATGTTTTTCTGATAGCGTGACACGTAAAACTGTCATTTAAGCATACTCAAATGTAGTTGAACCGCTACTTTTCTGAAATCCGTGCTTTATATAAAACTACATTCTACGTTCAAACTTCGAAGGCGCGCAGATTTTAAACCGACTCGCATAAGCTTATTCCCATTGGGATTCCGATCGAGATTCTCGTTAGTGGTCCCGTTCTGAATCGCGGAGATCGGTAGGAATCTCGGAAGAGGATTGAATTCTTCTTCCATTGTGAGGAGAGAGGTGGTTCGACGTCTTGTTACTTATCGGATAACGATTTTTCAGTCTGAGCAATCTTTAGAGATCCGTCGCACGGTAATATCGCGTTCGCGACGGGAATTTTATCGTCGAAAATGCCCGGTCTGGTTGAGACAATCGGAAGAGACATACAGGGTGTCCCGATGTTATGGTATTTCCGAGAAATGAGGGATTCCTGAGGTGATTTTAAGTCACTTTTTCCTTAGCGAAAATGCAATCCGTGACTTCGTTTAGGAATTATTAACGAAAAACGCTGACCAATGAGAAGCGAGCTCGCCTGGCGCTAAGCGCTCGGCCGAGCCAATCAGCGGAACTGCACTTCCACCGCCCGTTGGCTCGGCCGCCTTGTTTTAACTGAACTCGCTTCTCATTGGTCAGCATTTTTCGTTAATAACTCGTAAACGAAACTGCGAATTGCAATTTCGCTAAGGAAAAAGTTACTTCAAATGATCTCAGGAACACCTCATTTCCTGGAAGTACTATAATTTTGGGACACCCTGTATAGCCAGGGTTTTGCGATGTCGTTCGAGAAAAATCGTTGGCATCGAATCTGAAGTTGGATTTTTACAGGGTTGCGCGGAAAATTTTAAAAGTTTCGACAACCCTGTAGACTGTCAAGATAGCTTGCAGGGGGTCGTTTTCAATTGGATGAACTTCGAGCACGGACACGTGGATAGAAAAATGGGATCAAACGTGAAATCGAACTTCTTTTAGGCAGCACCGGTTGTTTATTGTTCCCCGAAGTCATCGAGTTTCTAGCGTTTCTTTCTCGAGGGCTTACAATACGATTGTTGATGTTCGTCAACAACTATAAAAACGAGCCGCGTGGCTCGAATAATAATCTCTCGAATAATCTTCCCGAATTGTCCATTTTTGTTTACAAGCTGAGGGACGATTGAACAGAATTTACTGTAATTTGAAACGGGGGTTTTCAAGAGAACTTTTCACGAGAACTTTGTCGCATTGATTTTCGATGTGCAAACGGAAAATAAGAAAAGTAGCCTGTAAAGACAGTCAGGAGAGACTAAATTGTACTAACAATGAGTAGTTCTTCGCATTATTTAAATTATAATCATTGAATTAAATTGTTATTATTATAATTAAATTGTAATCAACAAATTTTTATTTTCCAAAAAAGTGTTTCTGTAATTTTCGGTCTGCACTGCACGTATTATATTGTATATGTCGTTATTTTTAGATCAAGAATGCAATAGAGAAAATATATTATACGGTTCATAAAATACGAAATGATTTCTGTTTTTCATGAAAACGTTCTACTATCGAAAACTGTATTCAAGTCTGTAAATACTTTATTTCTCAATATGCACTTTAGTGTAAAACATGTTTTCGTTAAATTATTAAATAAACTCAAATTTCATGACTGTCAATTCAGATTCGCGTGTCAAAAACATTAATAGAAACAGTTTTTTTAGAAGGTGCAGAATGAGAAAATTTGACGCTGCTTTGAAGATAGGTTTAATCATATCAAAGCTCTAAAAGACTCTTTATGGTAGCATCTATTTATCATTCGAAGTATTATCATTAGATAGTCCTATCATTTTCTGATCACGCCATTCAGATTTCTATGTATATCATTTAAATAACATTTAAAAATGATTTATTAATTTTATTTGTACCTGCTGAAGATCCCACGAGTCTGATTTAATTACTTACTAAATATAACAACGAATTGGACGTTTCCGTTTTTAACTTGCGAGATTCCGAATTATTTCTAGAACGGCAGAACGGATAGAAGCAGCTGAGAAGTAAATAAAATGTCAGCCGCGCGTCGGCGTGGTATATAAATTTATACGGGAACGGAAGAGGATTTTCGTATCGTTGATAATTTCACAGTAGTCGAACCCCTGGAAACGCAGTGTCCGACAATGGAAGAGCGTTACTCACCGCGTGTGACAGTTGGGCTGATGGCGAGAAAATGAACGCAAGCGGCACCGGTCCCTTGACCCATCAGCGTCACGTTGTTGGGATCGCCGCCAAACAGGGCGATGTGCTCGTTGACCCAGTGAAGCGCCGCGATCTGATCCATGAGCCCGTAATTCGCGATCCTCGCCTTGTTCTGGGGCGCCACGTTGGCGTTCAGAAAGCCGAGCACGCCCAGCCGGTAGTTCATCGTGACGATCACTTGGTCGGTGTAACTGGCCAGGACGCTGCCGTCGTAAGGGTTTCCGCTGCCCCAGTCGTAGCTCTCCCCGTGAATATACAGCACGACCGGATGCCTTCTACCACTGTCTGCCATCCCTGCGAACAGAAAAGTGTTTCCTCAGCACATCCCTTACTCGTAACTCTGACGCCAAAGTTCCATCATTCGTTAAGCGATACAAGCCAACAACAACGCGCACAGTCCAGTCTAACCGTGTACATTCCAGCGACGAAAAGATAACATACTTTAGAATTAAGTGATTTTTGTTTGTTTAATGTTTCGATCGAGGTTTCATTTTTATACAAACTTTGGAAAAACCGCGACACATAGGCGCGAATGAAATAGAATTGAATAGCGCCGGTGTAAACAATTTTGTTTGAAAAGGAACATTTTTATCGAGATATAGTACGATATAGCAGGTTTAAGTAAAAATAGTGCATAGCAATAAATCGTGGAACGATATTTAATGCTTCATATTTTGTGGCTTCTTGTTTACGTTCGTTAACAGTGGTTATTAACTTTGAGAAAGATTTTTAATGTTTTTTGATAGCTTTTTGCTTTAATTGCCCCACTTATATTGATTAC